TTTTACATTCAGATTTTACATGTAAGCAACACACCAATGTACTTTTTTTTTAATCTTTTAGTTTTTAAAAATATGACAGAGTGCTGGCCTGTGAATCAAAAGGTCTCTGATTCAATCCCCAGTCAGGGCACATGCCTGATTTGCAGGCCAGGTCCCTGGTTGGGGACATGCAAGAGGCAGCCAACTGATGTTTCTGTCTCACCTACTCATTCTTCCTCCCTTCCCCTGCTCGGAAAATAAATAAAGAAAATTTTAAGAAATATGAAAATAAAATAGTTTTATTCTCACTAAAAATTAATGTTATCTTTATTTAGAGTGTGTGATTGATTTTTTTTATTTTTAAGAATTTTAGTTTAGCAAAATTTCTGGAAGAGATTTAAAATTTTTGTCTATATATTTAAACATAAAGATGTGAGATTTTTTATATATTTATCCTCTTTTATAAAATTATGTAATAGTAAAGGAAATTATAAATATATTTTTTCCTAAAATGATCTCTCCATAGCATAAACTTTTTTAAAAGTTACTTTCTCAGTAATTAAGATGTTTCCTATACCATGAAGTGATCAGTTTTGTTCTATTTTGCCTTTCTTTCTTTCTTTCTTTCTTTCTTTCTTTTTCTTTCTTTTTCTTTCTTTTTCTTTCTTTCCCTTTCTCCCTCTCTCTGTGTTTTTGTTTGTTTTTTGTTTCTATTTTCAGGGGGGTGTTTGTTTTGTTTTTTGAAAAAACACTTATAAGCATTTAATGAACTTACCTTCATGTGGCTTCAAACTAACAGGATTCATGGTCCCTTTCCTGCTGCCCCCTGCCCCCTACTCCCAAACCCAGCACCTTTGATCTTCTCTTCAGCTCTTCTGCTGAAGAATTTGGCCTTCAGGATGATAGACTTCTTTAGGAGCTTTCCTTTCCCCAGATTTTGTAGTAGCCCTGGCACATCCCCATCAAGGGTAGGAGCAGCTCCAGTTGGGTTTCGGCAGCATTTACTTACTTACCCATGTCTGCTCACTGACCACGGTCCACCCACAGTTTGTCAAGGTTGACAGTTGGGCAGAAGCTTTGGTTCCTCTTTAAGTGGTAATGCCTCATACCAACTTTCCCAAAGTAACTCGGGTGGTATTTGTCCAGGTTGATCCTGTGATGGATGATGCAAGCCACCAGCATTACCTCAGCCTCCCACATGCTTGTGATGTTGTCAAGGCCATGGCTCACATGGCCTGGAAATTTCCAAGTCTTCCTCAGTCTGGATGGCTGTCAGTGGCTGAGAGGCAAGAGGGAGGCCTCTTCTAATCTGTCTTAATATATCTGCTAAGTAGCTTCTAAGAGTCACCTGTTACCCTAGAAAAGCTAATCAAATTTAGAACACTTGTCGCTTTGTCAAAGAAAAATGCGTAATTCATCTTTAAAGCCCAAAACTTACTTAAATATTTTGCTCTGAGGTAATTAGCAAACCTTGTGTTATAAAAATTCCATGATCATATCTATTTACAAAGTATTATAAAGATTCTCTCATTTAAGATGATCTATTCCACGATTCTATTCCCGCAACATGCAAGCGGTGTGGTACACTGAAAGTGAACAAGGAGTGGAGAGGGCACGATCAAGGCCTCAGCCTCTTGGAACCCCAGCTCTTCCCTCAGGGATAGCACACCTTCAGACACGGAACGCATCTGATGATGAGTGATTGAACATTGTCAGCCATACATCCAATATTAAAAACTTCAATTTTTTTAACTTTTAGACAGATATAAATGGAAATAAATTTTATTTCTACTTTGAAAACTATAACATTAAATGACATTCTGACTAATTTATCAATATGCCATGTTTTTCCAAATCAGATTTTGCCATAACAGCTTTAAAAAGTAGGACTTCTGAAGCATGAACTCAGTTTTCTTGTAAAAGAATACCTATGTAAAGTTTATATAAAGCTATCATTCTTAGATTCAAAAAGATAATCAGAAGATTTTCTGTGCATTGACTCTTTAAGTACAGGTAAATATATGGAAATTTAGGGTAATGGTATTTTTCACTTCACTTTATGGATACCTGCAGCATTAGTACATGTAAGAATGGTTAGTTAACCTAAAATCCGGGGAACTTGATCAATTGGTACCTACCATATACAAGTTGGTAAGTAAACCGTGCCAAAGTAAACCTGTTAGGATAGCATGTAAACTTGTATAGAGGAAGGCTGGGAATTAGTTCTCTGCGGGGACAAAATCTAGTTGTTTTGTAGCTTTATGGTCTGTTGAGTTTCAGCTCTATCTGGCATAGCCGCCAGATCCTTTTTCTTTTTTTTTCTTTCTTTTTTTTTGTTTTTTACTTTGAAGTACTAGTTATCCTCCTGAAAATTGTATTCACTCGTAAACTATGGTTTGCATTGGGCTGAAGGCAGAGGGGTTCTGCTATTTCTTCATTAAGAGCTACTTGTCTAAAACTGGCTTAGGTGCTTTCATAAAACAACATATCTAATATGTTTCTTTTTTTTTTTTCAAAAAGAGAAAATGTTAGCATTTGTTGAGTACATAATACATTTAGAATCTGAGCTAAGTACTTTACATACATTATTTCATTTAATCCCCAACAGCCCAGTGAAATAGATAGCATCACTGCCTGTATTTTACAGATAAAAAAACACGCTTCAGGTTCATATAGCAGGTGTAAGACAAACGGGACTTGAACCACGTTTGCAGTGCCTGCTGTCACTGCATCCTTGCTGTGTACGTGTGTAGAGATACTGAAAATGTTAAAAGCGGTTCCTGGGTGGTAGGATTATGGATGGTTTTTATGTTTTTCTTCACAACTTTTTCTACTTTGAATTTTTCATAGTGAGTATTCATTACTTTTTAAATTTACATTCATCAAAATGATACATGCACCTAGGTTAAAAAATTAAGCTGAGAAGCTAAGAAACACTGTAGTTCTTTCCTGCCCATCCCAAAGGCATCTACTTTCAATTTTTTAAATTTTTTCTGATAATTACCATCATATTTCTAAATAATATGTTTATGCTTTGATTTCTTGAGTCATCCATTACTAGATTAGATATTAATTGAGTTCTTAGGATTTACCTCTCTTTTAGACTTGTTCTCTTACCATTCTTTTATTACAGTTATATCACAATTTTGGTAAATATTGTCCACTGCCGAGCCATGTGCTATATTTCATAACTAATTTCTTGTATTATGTTTGAATTTTTCTGTAATTAGTTATTACCTAATTCTCTTTCCATTGCTTTTTCTCTTTCCGTTCTTAATTGCATTTTCCAAATTCAATTCTTTTTTTTTTTTTTTCTTCTTAAAATCTGCCATCTGGGAGCCTTAGGTCCTTGTGGTTATATGAATGACATGCTCTCCAGCAGGTCCAGAGACCTCCCTTCATCATCATCTCAAGAATTCACTTTTCCTTTCCCCTGTGTTGAATATCTTGTTTCCTGTTTTGCTTCCTTTGTTTTGGCTTTACACCCTAATTTTAGAAGAGAATGTGGCCCTGACTTGTGTGTCTCAGTGCATTGGGCACTGGTCTGCAAACAGAAAGGTCGCAGGATTTGATTCCCAGTCAGAACACATGCACGGGATATAGGCCAGGTCTCTGGTAGGGGGTGCACGAGAGGCAACCACACGTTGATGTGTCTCTCCGACTCTTTCTCCTTCCTCTCTCTCTAAAAATAAATAAATAAATAAAATCTTGAAAGAAAAATAGAGGTCGAGAGCTTATCTATGATGTAGAAATGAAGGAAGAAATGACACGATTTAGAGGTAGCAAGGAGGCAAGGTGGAGCTCACACCCATTGGAATAAAGTTGGTCATATATCAGCTAAACTGCTATTTTGGTAATTTTTTAGTAAGTAAAAGCACTGGGCATTTCAAACTTTAGATGATATGTTTTTCCTCAAGTTAGCCTTATGCCTCTTCCCAGAAAGCTTGTGGCACCAAAATGTGTGTAGATGCTGAAATTCACCTGATGTCAAATGCCACCATTCCAGCTCCAAAAAGTTTATCATTGGCCAAGAACTTGTTTTTAGGAGTTTGCCTGAGCTAGGATTTCTTCAGTATGTATTTAATCCTTCCCCAACCCAAGGATGGTTAAGAAGCTCTACAAGAGAACATATGCCTGTCCTGCTTTGAAAAGGAAAATAACTGTCTTACTCTGAGAAGGTAGACTCCTTAGACTAAAATTAATGTTTCTCAAAACCAGGGCCTCTGAGTCCCAAGGGAACTGGAAAGTCATAATGGGACTCAGACTTCCTCCTTCTCTTCCTCTCTCCCTCCCTCACTTTCTTCCTTTCTGCCTTTCTTCCCTACTCTTTTTTTCCTTTTAACCCTCTTTCCCTCCCTACCTCCCTCCCTTCTTTATTTCTTTTAATTTTCAGCACTTCAAAACTTCAGTGGATATTTTACACTTCCCCATGAAAAGGATAGCTAAAAAAAATATTTTGGGGAGTGCAGGAATTTGATAACCTGGTTATCTTAGAGTGATCTAAAATGTATGGTAGCTATTATTTGTGTCTTTTGTAAATAAAAATTGGAACCCCCCCAAAAAAAAACATTACATTGGGAATGCTTATATGGTGCTTATACTGTTCAGTGGTGATTACTTATTTAATAAATTCTTAATAGCTTTATAACTTAAAACTGTTCATATTTTCAATCAGGAATAAAAACAAGAATGAAGTGAAGGAACTATGTGTATGGTAGTGACCTTTAAACACCAGTTTATAGATTTCTCACTGTCTCTTAAAATGAATTTAGTGGTCTATTGTGAAATGAAAAAATAAGGGAAAAGGCTATTGGCATACGATGTATCTCAAGACAAGAAATTATTCACATTTTGATCATATATTTTGGCTAATAGAGGAAGTTTGGCTTTTTTATTTAAGTACTCCATCTTTTTCATGTACTAATTACGATTTTTCATCTTGGGTCTAATTGGGGTTTAATATGTAAACTATACAGTGTGAATGACAAATGATTAAAGATTTTCTTTTTCCTTCCTCTTAGGTACATGAACATGCCCAGAAGAAATTTCCTTCCAGAAAAACTGAAAATGCAATATTTATAACACTGGAATTTTTGTATAATTTATTAAAATGGCAGAAAATAGTGAAAGTAATAGTAAAAATTTAGATGTCAGACCGAAAACTAGTCGGAGTAGAAGTGCTGACAGAAAGGACGGCTATGTGTGGAGTGGGAAGAAGTTATCTTGGTCAAAAAAGAGTGAAAGTTGTTCAGATGCTGATACAGTAAATGCTGTAGAAAAAACTGAAGTTCCCTTACGGAGCCAAGAAAGAAAGCACAGCTGTTCGTCCATCGAGTTGGATTTAGATCATTCCTGTGGCCATAGATTTTTAGGCCGATCTCTTAAACAGAAACTGCAAGATGCTGTGGGGCAATGTTTTCCAATAAAGAATTGTAGTGGTCGTCACTCTTCAGGGCTTCCGTCTAAAAGAAAAATTCATATCAGTGAACTCATGTTAGATAAGTGTCCTTTCCCGCCTCGATCAGATTTAGCCTTTAGATGGCATTTTATTAAACGGCACACTGCTCCTCTGAACCCCAAATCAGATGAATTGGTAAGCACAGACTTGTGTCTGAGTGAAATGAGAGATGGTCAGCTGCAACAGAGAAGAGATGTGGAAGAACAGGTGAACTGTTTTTCACATCCCAGTGTTCAACCCTGTGTCATAACCACCAGCAGTGCTTCATGTAGGGGTGGTCCTGTGACTGGCTCTGTGATGAACCTGGTTTCAAATAACAGTATAGAAGACAGTGATATGGATTCCGATGATGAAATTATAACGCTTTGTATGAATTCCAGGAAAAGAAACAAACCCAAATGGGAGATGGATGAAGAAATCCTGCAGCTGGAAACAACTCCTAAGTACCACACCCAAATTGATTATGTCCACTGTCTTGTACCAGACCTTCTTCGGATCAATAACAATCCATGTTACTGGGGGGTTATGGATAAATACGCAGCTGAAGCTCTACTAGAAGGAAAACCAGAGGGTACTTTTTTACTTCGTGACTCAGCACAGGAAGACTATTTATTTTCTGTTAGTTTTAGACGTTATAGTCGTTCTCTTCATGCTAGAATTGAACAATGGAATCACAACTTTAGTTTTGATGCACATGACCCTTGTGTCTTCCATTCTCCTGACATTACTGGGCTCCTAGAACATTATAAGGACCCGAGTGCCTGTATGTTCTTTGAACCACTTTTATCCACTCCTTTAATTCGGACTTTCCCCTTTTCCCTGCAGCATATATGCAGAACAGTTATTTGTAACTGTACAACTTATGATGGCATTGATGCCCTTCCAATTCCGTCTTCTATGAAATTATATCTGAAGGAATATCACTATAAATCAAAAGTTAGAGTACTCAGGATTGATGCACCAGAACAACAATGTTAGGTAAAGGGTAGGAAGAAAGGAATTTAAATATTTTATTTTTGTTAGTGCTACTTTGAATTTTTCTACAAGGGCAATTAGAGTCCAAAATAAACCTCTGCCCTAAATTTTGCTTGCAGATCAGTTTATTTTTCTTACAATACACTAATTGTTTAAGGTTACACACTAAGGGTTAATGGATATTTTTGACCAGGTGTTTGGTTTTTGTTTCTATAATACAGAGTGTATACTTAACCTTTTTTCTTTTCTTAATTGTAATTTGCATATGATCCAGGGATATTTGAATTTGGTAGGCATTGTAAACGCAGTTAAAAAATCTGTATTTCATGATTTTCTGTACAAATAGTCCTGTGTCCTTTCCTACATGTAAAATGCTTTGTTAGCCTATGCCACTGGCATTCATACATAAAATATGGTTTCCTCATCCCCCTTTTCAGAGTTGTTTTTAAATTCGGTAAGCTGAGTGTTGTAATTCATAATCCATATTAATGTAATTGACTTTAGTAATTTACTAATAGGGGTGTTAAAGTTAACAAAATGGCTGAAATCAAATTTGTGTTTTTGTGTAAAATATTACCTATAAAGCAGGATTACTAAATTTGATCAGTAAGAATCAAATGAGAACATGACATTTTTGAAGGTGAATTTATTCTACAATACGGCATGGTCATTTGTTATTCCTTGAATAGACCTCCTGAAACCTGGAAGAGTTACCATCTTCAGAACCTAAATATTGTTCCTTTCTCACTGGGAGCTTTATAAATAATTATAGTACTATTAGTAAGTAGTAGTTGCTAAAGTACTAAAGCAAGTGCAGTTTTTCTGCATTGACTAATAAACTGTTGCTCCTACTTAGCTCTTTTATAGAAACTCTGAGCCTGTTATTTGGGGAAATGCCACAGTTCATAAACCACTACAAATTTTCATTGGTCCCTATGTAGTTTTTCATTATTTTAAATTGAGCTTGAGTAAATCTTCAGAAGTAAACATAGAGCTTATTATTTAGAAAGCTTAATATGTTTTTGACCTTCAGCTTTCGAATAATTATTTTCAGGGTTAACATGTTTTATTGTGGCTTCAAAAAGAGGAAAACATTTTGAGAGCTACATGGCTTATGCCATACTGAACAGTAGTGGGCAACAGGTGTAATATTTTAAATTTACTGTCCCAAGAAGAGGAAAGCATGTTTAGAAACATAATTATTTCAATATGAGATAAATGAAGTGATATTTCTCCAGCCCCTTTTTTTAAAGAATCAGTGAATAATAAATTTCCTAAACAGTTGTTTCTTCTGATGAGCTATTTACCACTTTGTAAATTGCCCTTTTTAATATTATAGTAATTAGTTTCTAGATGCTAGTTTAGGTCTAGTCTACTAGGAAACAGATTCTACCTGGGTTGAAAGAAATTTGACTCAACTTTCTAAGTTAAAAGAACTGTTTCTTAAATATCAATGCTTTTATGTTGAAGTAGCATTTCTCTTTTGTGCAGTTCTGCTGCTAATATAAAGATGCCATTTGTTCAATAATAGTATTAAAATACATTTTTTGCAGTTACCACAAAATTAAACCAAGAAAATCTGTTCCCATTATCTTCTAGCATTTTTTTTCTCGGTGATCTCAAGATTGTCTCAAGTCCAATGAAAGGTAGCTCCTAGAATAGTACCTCTCTCAGCAGTGATGAGGCTCAGAATCTCAACACCAATGTCAGGATAAATATCTCTTCTAGAGGTACTTCCCTTTTACAAAAGAAGAGCCTACTACTACCTCATCTTTACTGAGGCGCTTTTATAGATCACTGAGAAGCTTATCTTACCAATATAATATTTCCTAAATACTCATCTTTGATGAAAGAAAACTAATAGTAAGGTAAGACTACCCGTGGTTATAATTTTTTTATCAGAATTTGATAGTGAGACTTTCTGTTTCTATGAAACAATTATTTTAAATATTTTTCTTTAAAAATAACTTTTTATTGGTACAGAAAAACCTAAGGGATGACAAACTAACAAATATTCTGTTAAAAGGTAATTTTATAAAGAAAAATGAAGCATAATTATGTTTTATAATGGTAAAAATTAGTATTTATATAAAAATCAAGATCTAAGTAGCTTTTCATATAGTTGTGGTATATTTTCTCTGGCTTTCTTATTTTCTCAACTTCAACTAGTAGCTGTTAACATTTTCAAAATACTGCTATGTATATATCCTTAAAGTAGATGATCTAATAAATGAGAGCAGGAATAGTCGTTTACTCTGAAATGGTTTGTATTTTTCTCTTGGTATTTGCTACAGTAAAAAGAAATCTGGAAAGTAGAAATATAAAAGACTTGAGAAGAAAGTTGTTTACCATGAAGGAAAAAAAAGAGTAACAAATTCATTTTTTAAAGCATTAAGTGATTGGGATTTATAGAAGTTAATCACTTGGTCACTTTGTGAGGCCATATTTGGAAGAGCATCAAATATTTAAAAACTAATACATTTATTAAAATTAAATTATGAAATATGTGAGTAAAATGAGTAAGTTTTCAGAGGGACAATGTGGGAAGATACCAATATATCCATAAATTTTGTAACACTTAAGGCATTGTGATAATTTGAAAAGTAAATTCTGGAGTTGAGAAAGCATTCAGAATGGTGGAAAGATGTAGAGCTTATTGGTAAGAGGATGAGGCTAAAAGAAGCAAGATAAAATATTAAAATTAAGAATTTAGGCTTTACCTCAGGGAAAAGCCTTGACAGCGAAAGGGAGCTACTTCATTGCTAATAGCTAGTCTGGACCAGACACTTAACTGTGCTTTGGGAATCATCCTGCACTAATCAGGAAGTAAACTTGACTTTTCTATTTCCCTTGAAGCTTTTCAGGACATTAACACCCCCCCCCTTTTTTTTAAGCTACAGCATCTTGATTTATGCTATAATTCCTAAAATATGCTGATGGGCTTTTTTAGGTTCCTTGAGCATTTTTGTAAGAAGAATCATGTATGATGTTTCTATAATCATGCCATTCACTTAAATAATTCATAAAGGGAATGGTTTAATTTAAAGGAAGACCTAATAGGAAGAAGATTAAAGGAAGCTTTTAGTCAGCCTGTGGCTAGATTTATTGATTTGGTGATCAGACCTGTGTTCTTTCCTAAATTTTAGCTGATGGCAAACTGTGGTCAAAGAATGGCTTTCAGTTAAAGTTTGACTTCTTTTATAAATAATAATACAAAGAATGTCTTAGAAATTAGGAATCCTTTAAAAAGTAGAGCAAATGTGGCAATTAGGACTCGTCATTATACAAATTTCATTTCTTTTTATAAGAAAAACAAACCATTATCATTTATTCATGAGCCAAGTCCATTAAGAAGATAAATCAAGCTATCAGCTTCCTGTCTCTGAAGTTTGGATCATTTTATAGATCCACATAATAGAGAGCTTCCTTCCTATGAAACAAAAAACCTTGAGACCTAACTCATGAATATATGCTTAGTTTTTATTTTTTTAATATATTTTATTGATTATGCTATTACAGTTGTCTCATTTTCTCCCCTTTATTCCCCTCCGCCCCGCACATCCTCTGCCACCAGCATTCCCCCACTTTAGTTCATGTCCATGATTGTACATATAAGTTCTTTGGCTTCTACATTTCCTATGCTATTCTTAACCTCCCTCTATTTTCTACCTACCATTTATGCTACTTATTCTTTGTACCTTTTCCCCCACTGATAACCCTCCATGTGATCGCCATTTCTGTGATTCTGTTCCTGTTCTATTGTTTGTTTTGTTTTGTTTCTGTTTTAGGTTCGGTTGTTAATTGCTGTGAGTTGTCATTTTACTGTTCATATTTTTTTCCTTTTTCTTAGATAAGTCCCTTTAACATTTTATATAATAAGGGCTGGGTGATGTTGAACACCTTTAACTTGACCTTATCTGGGGAGCACTTTATCTGCCCTTCTATTCTAAATGAAAGCTTTGCTAGATAGAGCAATCTTGGATATAGATCCTTGCCTTTCATGACTTGGAATACTTCTTTCCAGCCCCTTCTTGCCTGTAAGGTCTCTTGAGAAGTCAGCTGACAGTCTGATGGGAACTCCTTTGTAGGTAACTGTCCTCTTATCTCTCGCTGCTTCTAAAATTCTCTCCATTTTAATCTTGGCTAATGTAATTATGATATGCCTTGGTATATGTTCCTTCTTGGGTTCAACTTCTTTGGGACTCTCTGAGCTTCCTGGACTTTCTGGAAGTCTGTTGCCTTTGCCAGATTGGTATTATTTGTTCAAATAAGTTTTCCACTTGTTGCTCTTCCTTTTTCCCTTCTGGTACCCTTATAATCTGGACATTAGAACATTTAAAGATGTCCTGGAGGTTCCTAAGCCTCTCCTCATTTTTTTGAATTCTTGTCTTCATTTGGTTCTGGTTGAATGTTCCTACTGCTCCAAACCGTTGATTTGATTCCTGGTTTCCTTCCCATCACTGTTGGTTCCCTGTAGATTTTTCTTTATTTCACGTAATGCAACTTTCTTTGCTGCCTGGGTCATCTTTATGCTGTTGAAGTACCCATTGAGTTCCTGGAGCATCTTGATTACCAATGTTTTGAACTGTGCATCTGATAGTTTGGCTATTTCTCCATCACTTAGTTTTTCTGAAGCTTTGAACTGTTCTTTCAGTTGGACCATTTGGGGTTTTTTTGTTTTGTTTTTGTTTATTTGTTTGTTTGTCTCGGCCATCCTGTTATGTAGTGAAGGGCAGAGCCTTAGGTGTTCACCAGGGTGGGGTAACCCACGTGGATATGTTGTGATATTGTATGTGGGGGAGGGGTCTGAGGGATCAATACCGCCTGCTTTACTCTCAGCTGGCTTTCAGTCACATCCCCTGCTACACACAATCAAATTGGGCCCTTCTGGTTCTGACTCCCAGGTGGGTGCGCTTGTGTATGTTCTAGGACCTTGTAGGTCTCTACAGCAAACTCTCCTGTGAGGCTGGGAGTCTCCTGCTGCCGCCACAACCCCACAGGTGTTTTCAATCAGAGATTTTGAGGCTTTATATCCCCACCCTGAAGCCCTGGGTTGCGCAGTCTGTCTTGCTCCCTAGTTGTTCCTTGTGGTTTATCTGCACTCCAATGTGGGTCCCCCACCGCCTTGCCTGCCCCAGTCCACCAGCTGCGGCCTTGCCACAAGTCCTCTCCAGGCCTCTGTCCCGCTGCCCATCTCTGCCCCTCCTACAGGTCTGGATGAATGTTTCTTTAACTCCTTGGTTGTCAGCCTTCCATACAGTTCAACTTTCTGTCAGTTCTGGTGGTTTTTTGTTTTTAAATTTGTTGTCCTTTTGTTATGCAAAGAGGCACAGTGTGTCTACCCATGCCTCCATCTTGGCCGGAAGTTCCTATATGCTTAGTTTTTATTAAAAATACTTTTTGTCACTCTTAGCTATAAATAGT